GAAATAACCCTTTTATAATTCTTGATATTTATATTTTCTTATTATATGTAATATGTATAATAAGCGGGTATTGGTCCCCAGCATTTGTTTTTACTTCCCCAAATCAAACATATTCTATTTTTGTAAAATAAAAAGTTATCTGCTAGCGCCTATAGGGTCTAGCCGTCCTATATAGTCTTAGACTGAAGATGGACGTAAATTAAATCAATCAATCAATCAATCAATCGATACATACTAGACAATATTGTATTCTATTAATAGTAAAGGTGTATTGAAGTCTTATGGATTGAGCCGCAATACTCGAGTAATATTGAACCGAAAGGTTGCGATACGCAGTACATACGGTATCGAGTAGGTAGGCAGGTGAGTGTCAGCTAAACTTACAAATCATCTACTTGAAGCATTGAGAGGAGGAGGGTGGGGGCCATTGGGCAGCATTTTATCTTTGAAACGTGTAAACGAGGTTGATATATATGTCAGCCAGAATTACAAATCAAAAGACGTCAACCTGATTTATCATCTGATAGTAAGGTCGAGTAATGTCGCAATATTGTACTGTGTAGCATCATATCATGCAAGAGCACAAAATTCACAAACTGGATGAGTGAAAGTGTCTAGTAATGTTTAATGAGGGCAACGCTTTTACCCTTATATTGTCATAATTTACCAATTCTATTAACAAAATTCATCATCATGCATTTAACCAACGGCCATTGATTTGCTTCCTTCTCACCTATGAAAATGTTAGCATTGTATTCAGTAAAAAATAATTATAATTAAGTGACTTACCATAGGCGCCAGAATAGTAACACCGGCCCCCAAAGCCAACACCGTAGCTACCAAGCTCAACTTATTAAACGCCTTGCCGAGAATATCGAACGCAGCACTAGGTGTGACTCTTGTTCCGAAAACATCAATTCCATATGCGAAGACCAGACTGGTACTTTCTAGTAGAGCAGGGCTGGTAATGACACCTTCAATACCGAAAACTTCACGTTGGTGGGTGATGATAAGTTTTGGGTCGAATTCGATGGAAGGCTGGTAACGAAGGAGTCCTTCTTCTTGTTCGGCAGGGATAGGGTCTCGACCGACTGGTCGACGGGGATCAAGAAGATAACGAGGAATTCCAATGATTGAGTTGGATGCTAGAGTGCAAAGAAGCTGACGAGTAGTAATACCTTGGCGGGTTTGAGAAACAGACATGTGAGTTATTGCTTCAGGAACCACGAATGATTGGCTGATCACATGGGGAAGAATTGGGCCAGCATTAGGTACATCTGCTGGGTCAAGACTTGAAGCATTCGTGTTTGAACCAAGCGTCCCACGATCATTTGGAATAGGGGACTCGTAAAGGTCGGTGACAATGAGTTGATATCCTTTGGAACCATGCAGAGAAGTGGTGGTTGGTAATTCATCGCTCCATAAAGAATAAGCGAACCAATTTTCGGTAAAGATTGAAGCAATAGGTTTCTTAGTGTCAACACCCTCATGACTCGCAGAATAGAGAATGTCGCCTGAGACTGTATCAAGAAGATAAAAGGAGGCAGTTGAGGATTCGTCGGAGACGGCAGTAACCAAAACCAGGTTAGGATTTAGATACTTGTATAGAACAGTACGATCACCGAGGACCCGACCAATCGACGCAACTGGATCGTGTGCGGGTTTGGACACTACTTCAACAACCCTTTGACCAGACGGTGGTTGGAATGACCAAGTAAAGACAGGCTTAGCATCAAGACCTTGGATCTCAAACTTTAAGCCCTTGACTTCGCCATTCTCACCCCGAACTACAAGTGAATCTTTTGGTGCCCAGTCTTTTGGTATATCACCAGGATTCCCATTGGTACCAATAGGTAACACCCATCTGCCAGAGTCGCTGTCAACGACAGCCGCGCTCTGAACAGGTGGCCACATGCCAGGGGCTATAGCTTCAAGTCCTGTTCCAGTTGTAGTGTTCACGATAATATACTCTCCTTGACTGCCTCGGACTGTTGTTGTACCTTTGGAGTTATCGACATATATAGACTTCACGTCCCATTTCATGCCAGCTGGTATATCGAAAGCCTTTGAGCCCCATACAACACTCCCTTGAGATCCGGCATCAAGTGCATATAAGCGACCTCTTTGCGTGGCAACGATAACTAACTTGTTGAACCCAAAGTTATCCCGTGCTAAGATGTCCTCCTTTGTTGCAGCAGCCAAATCCTCAGGTAAGATGGCACTTAGGATTCGGGTTGGCAGTTCTTGCAGGTATGCAGGAAGGTATTGTAAATCTGTAACATGACGATTGACCCGATGGATATATGCTGCCAGAGGGTTGCTGTGAGCTTCCGCCTCAAGTGTCTCAGCCAATGATTCTGATGCTGGGATTTCAGCCCATTCAGCAGCCACAATGCCAGAAAGTCCCTCAACACGGGACCAAGCTACAGCACCATTGCGCACCAAAACCAAATCCTGCTCCATGCTTACCATAGCTGATCTAACAGCATAAGTATCGGGAGCTTTTTGGACCACCTCTGAGGCGCCATGGAGAAATTGAAGTCGACCTTGTTGTTTCTTTGCTTCGATTGGCCATCTGCCCAACATCCCATGAGACATTGAAGAGAAAATGACAGTTTCATCTTCGGTGAAACGGGTGAAGTAGACGTTGGCATCTTGTGAATTGACTGAGAAGGCGCCTCTTCCTGCAAGCTTGGGTATTTCATATGCTTTGCTAATGCTACCACTTTTTAGGTCAATGTGATAAACATCTGCTCGATTCGAGGTTGCCGAGTGACTGTGTACCAAAAAATGTGGTAAAGATTGCGCCAAGTTAGGTGCGTGAATAGATACTTTTGTAAGCTCGCCATCTGATGACTTTAAAGGTAATGTCTGCAAGTTGCTTGGTTTGCCCAAAATATTGACTTTAAGGTTCTTCAGTGACCTATCAGTCCAAGCAATGATCGGTGCAGCAGAGTTGGCTCCCACAAGTAAGACATCCTCAGGAGTGTGGACATCTCCTGTAGTCGAGAGAGTGTATTCAGTGACTCGTTTGCCTGTCAATGGATCCAGAGTAGCAACTTTCACACTATAGCCTCCCCAAGAACCATGAAGAGTAACAACAAAAATGTTCCTGACATCTGTGCTGACTTGCAAAGGCAGATCACCACTTGCATCAACATATTCCCAAACAACATCTCCGTTATCACCATTTAGTCTTCGTACCACGGCTTTTCCAGCATCTTCGAATAAAGTCAAAACGTCCTTGATATTGTCATGCCCTTCAATGACTTCCAAATCTTTAGCTTGTCCTTCAAAGTTGTTTCCCCATCTCTCTCTTCCACTCTTCGCATCCCAAGCATCAACCCTGCTGCCCAAAGCACTAACAATTGTACCAGCTCCCTCAACTGATCGCAAAAAGCCTTTCCCACTATTATCACTCTTCGCCAATATTTGTCGCCATCTGATCTGCCCTGTGCCTGGATTTACAGCTCCAAGAACCCCAAGATCACTCAATGTATACAATAATGCGCCCTGCTCATTTTCCCTAGGCTTGTAGAAGAAGGTTGTGTCTGGTTGTGGGAGGCCTAGTAACTCGTGGTGGTAGTCAACATTGTATGCTTCGTCTGCGAAAACTGCAAGGGTTCGTGGAAGTATTGACAAAGTCAGGCAAATAAGATTTAGAGGAAGTCGCATAATGAATGAGGTTGAATGGGGTGAGGACCTCCAAATGTGGCATGAAGCTCTGGAGCTTTGGTTATCGTAAGCTGGTTCGGTAGAATTTCGGTTCGGATTAATTAATCACCGTGTAGATTTATTTTCAGAGCTCACCGGGGCCTCATCTCACGAGGTCCCGCCAATATTCTCTTGAGTATTGTTTAAGTCATATACAATCTTTCAATTCGTCCTTCTTGATCAAACAGATCCCTTGTTAGCAAGGCATATCTCTAGGAAATTACAAGCTTATGTTCACGCGTTGATGACCCCCATTCACCCCCTTCGTTAGAATTGATGGCGCAGCGCCAGCGAGTTGTTGAGCACTAATCACTCGCATAAGTGATCGTGTCGGTCTTCATAGGGCCTGAAAAGCTTCCGAACTCATCCAATCGCATCCTAAATAAGATACCGGTATTTTGATATTCGTTACAAAATCTGTTTCTAAACATGCTGGCATGCCTTCCTTGCCTTCCTCCTGAGTTCTATAATGCAAATTTCTCAAATACAATATCCTGCAAGCACCTGTTCCTATATCGGTATATATACTTTATTAATTGTATTTGTCACATCCTTCGCACAAACTCAATTTGTCCAGCTATCTTATTGTCCGGTTAGAATCACTTTTACATTCTCAGTAAAGATATCAGTCCCGCGTCAACGACTATATGTATTTTATACTTCAATCCCATATACAAACCCTCGTAATTTTAGCTCTGCGGATCCTTTGTATATACTTCCTATCTCCTTATTCAGCATATTTGATCTGGCCCCTCGGTTATATCATCTCTTTAGTAATCCTGGATAATCGACTATTGTTTCTTGTAGTCAATCCTGATATATTTCAGGACTACTACTAGCTAAAGTATATCTTTAACTCAAGTTCTCATGGTTGTTTATCAAGTAATGAGTATCTGTACATTTACAGTGTTATAGAGCACCTTGGTATGATCTATACTACCCAACTCCAATACAAGAACTAAAAGTCGGCTCTTTATAGAGCAGCCATCTCATTCCTAATCAGAGAAAGCAAATATCCTTTTTTCAATTAATAAAATACAAATAAGATTATTTCAAACAAAGGTTCTAGTTGTGACGGAACAGACGGCTCTCTTCCGCCCACTGGCTCATACTACATATGTAGTATGATATGACGGCTCTTTTGGACCTTCCTTTCACAGCTTAGAGCCCTAGCTCTATAGCTCTAGACCTAGGCATCTTACGCCTAGGACCCTTTCACCCTTTTGGGCCTAGCCCTTATGGCTCCCAATACCTGTATATATAGTCCTCTTTTTAGCATCCTACATAGCTCTTCACTTGTAGATTCTAAGTACACAATCGGAGTCCTGTTTATACCCTTTTGGTCACACTAGTATTATAATTTAATAATATTTTTATTTTATTTTATATTATTTGAAAAAGAATATTTGCTTACAGGGGATAGTTGCTTTCTCCGATTAGAAACTAGACAGCCATTCTATAAAGAGCCGATTATTATTAGCTATTAGCTACTAGCTATAGATCTAATCTTCTGAGTAAGGTAACGCAATAAGCTGGATGGTGTTGTTTAGTGAGTTGAGAATTTTAATTGATGTATATGTTTCAAGTATGACTATTCATAGGGTAGATGGGAAGCATTAGACTAGTAACTACTGGCATCAGGTAGGTGTAATTCGACTAAGGACGAAGAGAATCTACATCGGGAAGAGCTCTGGTTAAGCCAGAGCTCCTACTAGTACTAATCGGGACTAGCTCCCCCTTGGTCACGTGCACCACGAGAACCACTTCTTCAACAGTATATTG